CTAAACATCCCGCATCTGACTCTATATAAATAGTGCCTCCATTTCTTAAGTGCAAACACATCTCCTATTAACTCCAAGTCATGTGTGGGATAATTTCTTTCATGGTTCTTCAACCTTTTAAAGGCACAAGCAATAACTTTTTCATGCTGCATAAGCACACATTCCAATCCATTTAATGAGACATCACTATAAAACTAAAACCCGTTAGACCCTGAAGGAATAATCTAAAGTAGTTTTCAACTTTTAGAAAGTCTCTTCACAACGATCTGACCATTCAAGCTTCATTGCCTTCTGAGTTAGTTTGGATAATTGTATAGGTCTGATCTTATTCTGATCCACAAATATAACATTTAAACTAATTATATGTCTAAGAAAACCCACACTTTTCAACCATAAGTCATATTTAAATAACTTTACATAAGTTGTCCAAACTAACTCAGAAGAAGATTTGAGTGACTGCTTTAATCATTGAAATACACCAAAATATTATCTCTAAAAAACATCACAAAGATATCCAAGAATTCTCTAAAGATTCTATTCATTAGATCCATGAATATTGTTGGAGTATTAGTTAATATAAATGACATAGCCACAAACTCATAGTGCCCATATCTGGTTCTGAATGCTTCCTGATACTCAACTGTGATAACGTGATCTCATATCAATATTTGAAAATGTAGAAGATCCTTCCAACTAATTAACTAAGTCATCAATCCATAGTTAGTAGTGGATATTTATTCTTCACAGCCGGCTTATGTAATTCTCAGTAGTCAATGCACATCCAGAAACTCCAATCCTTTTTTATAAATAACAGTAGAGCGCCCCCCGCCACCACCCCCCCTTAAAGTTGTGTTTGGCCTGATAAACCCCTTATCTAATAGCTCATGCAATCAATTTTTCAACTCCTGCAATTCTTTTATTGTCATTCTATATGGTGTCTTGAGTACTGGCCCAGAACATAACAAAAGCTCAATAGTGAAATCAATCTCTTACTGATGGTAGCCCTAGTAAATCATCAAAAAAAACTTTTGGATACTCTTTCACCCTCAAAATATCATTCAATGACATCACTTAGTAACATCTTTCACCCGAGTAAGAAAATCTTGATTTCCACTGTTCAATAACTTAAAGGCCTTAAAAAATGTAATTATCATTGAAGCAAAATCTAATCTCTCTAAGAACATTAATGTTAACAGTTTTCTTCTTAGAGTATATGGTTGCAAAGTTTTCATATAGTCAATTTATACCCAAAATTACATCAAATTTAACTAGTTGCAAAACAATCAGGTGTGCATCAAAATCTCTCTCACCAATATTAAATTCTTCTTCACATAAATGACTAACCTCCAAATGACTTCCATTTGGATCTTAATAGATAACACTGTTATCATTGGTATAGTATTCAAATTTATTGATTTAATCAACTCATCAACAATAAATGAAGGGAATGCCCCTCATGTCAAAGAATATCTTTATTGGTCTATCATGAGAGGATATGATATCTAATATAAAAAAAAAATTATATGGAACAGTTAGAATGAATTATTTAATGTGTTTAATTTATGACCTTAAGAATGAAATATGCTATGACGCAACTAAATGTTTAATTAATTAATTTTTTTGAATCAATTGGGTCACAAGAGTTATCATTTAAGAAAAAGCATCAATAGGGCACGTCAGTTCCTACAATATCATCTCTGACTTCTTCATCTTGATTATCTATAACTTTGAAATAGAAGTAGAACATTAGACTTAGTTAATATTTTGATTTATACTATTCATAACTTTATTTAATCATCCTAACAAGATTAAACCAAATTTGCCTCTAATAAGAAAAATGTGTGACCCTTCCTACTTCCTCACACTTTGTCTCTCACTCGTCCCCTGTCTCTATCTATTGTCTATTCGTTTTAGTTTATCTTATAACACAACTATCTTGACGATTAACCCTTTCTATTGCTTCGGTTTATTATTTTTTACTTCAGCTATTACAATCTCTCATCCTTAAATTGTATGCTAGAATTTAAGATAGAAGAATATTAGCTTGAACAGTACTTGAAGCTATTTCAAGATGAGACCAACACTATTTCCAAGAGAAGAAGAGTCAGTGGAAGCTGGAAATTGCCTAAAAAGGGCTAGGGGAATTGAGTTGGACTTACAAACTACATAGAGAAGGGACTTTCATAAGAGGAAGAGTTCAGAGGGGTTAAGATTTTCATAGAGTTTCCAAACAAACTCAGAAAACAGTGAAGTTTGAATGATCAAATCATTGTGAGAAGACTTTTAGAAGCTGAAGCCTTGTTGAATCACTGCCCTAATATTGATTATCCCCTTAGGGTCAGATGAGTTTCAAATTTATAGTGATGCATCATTAAAACGATTGGGTTATACCTTTATTTGAATATTATTGACGATTCTCCAAAGATAACGTCTAAAAGTAAAAAGAAAGAGAAAGAAATTAAATGAAAATGAGAAAACAATTGATAAGATGATTAAATAAAAGATTTTATAAAAATGAGAAAGTTTAGTTTATGATCAATGCGTCACTTGAAACATCCATGCTATGCATTTACACAAAAAAAATTAATGCATAATAAAATAATAATTATTCACTAAGTTGCTTAAATTTAACCTATTATTTAACTATTCTTTCAAGAAAAGGTCATCTAGATAAAAAAAATCTGATAAGAGAAAGTTTGTGTTTTCTGCAATGACTGCATCCTGATGAATTATGAATTAGTGGCACTTTTCTATATAAATATTATTGTGGACTAATGTTAGTGATTAAAAAAATCTTTTATTGCTTGACCATCTATTCCCACCTTAACTAATTCTAAATCTCGGGTTGAGTTGTGATATTTCATTATGCAAAATACAGAGTTATGCAACACTATAGATGAAACATGGACCCTCACAGAGGACTTTGAATTTTTTATAACACAACATATGGTCTTAAATTATAACAATCATGTAATTATCTAAATTGCAAATGATCCCATGTTTTTCCAGGAATACAATGCATTAGAGTTTGTTGTGTTCTTTCGGGAAGCAATGCTATCACATAAGCTCATTACTCATGCTTCTTGCTTAAAAAAATAACATGCACATTTACCAAGATTTTGGGCAAATTCAGATTTCTATGCTTTTTAACAAGCTTGATGATATAAATTCTCCAACATGAAAGGATGAGAGAGAGCATAGGAAATATAGTTTTAGAAAACTAGTATATTTATGATTAAGCATAGTATGTTTACTTGATTGAACCTCTGCTCATTAGATTGCCTTTGATATTGAACAATACATATAAGAAGTGGTGCTTGTTCAATGAGATAATTCATGAATAAGTTTTTTTTCATAAATTATAAATTTACATAACTTCTTATTTTTACTTTATTTTTTAATAAGAACATGCAAACGTTATTTTTATTCAGTAAGATGCTTGTTCAATGTTGCAAGGGGCTAGAGGCTAGAGAGTAGAGAAAGTTATCAAGTTGGAATAAATAATGTTTGGATTGCAATTTTGTAACATATGTATTAATTGAATAGAGAGTAATAAAGGTATCTTTTGCTAATTTTTGAGTTAGAGATTCTTACTGTAATTATAAATTTTTTTGTTATAACAATTATTTATAATTGGTTATATATCCATTTCAAAAATTTTTTGTTTTATTTATAAGAAAGAGTATGATTTTCTATCAACTCTAGTCAATTCAAGCCTAAACAAGCTCATTAAGACTAATACAATTTGACTCAAACAGCATATTAACAAAAAAATTTGATCATAAGCCAATTTGAAAAAATATTTTTTTTAAAAGACAAACACAGACAGATAGTGAGCTTACTCAAGTTCAACTCATTTATGCCATTACCCACACAAAATAAGTTGAGGCTCTCAATCAATCAAGGTCAAACAGGCTTGATAATTTATGGAGAATTAATCAAATAAAATTTAGTAGGAATCAATCTATAAAACAAATTTCTCTAGGTTTTTTTTTAAGACAAAAATGATAACTTCCATTGTCTTCCTTGCTTCCAATTGTAGTTAGAGCTTGAATTCCAAATTTTCAAAGTTCATAAAATGCCCTTTCACCTGATTGGTTTTATAAGGCTTTCAAATTTTGGACAATTTCTCTTGCAGCTCTTATCTGTGTGTTCTTTAAGAAAGAATTTGCTTATTTCTTGGTATCATATCTAGAGAAAAAGTTGTGGAGCTTCTTCACCCACGATTTTTAGTTATGTCCCTTGATTTGTTAGGTTTACCCTAGCTTCTCTCAGCTTACCGTCCAGTTTCTTGCAATATTGTTTATTCTCAATTTGCTAGAATTTTATAGAACCCTTGCATGATAAGGAAGTGTTGGAATTCCTCCACATAGTAGACAGGGATCATGAGATGATTTTTCCTTGGACATGCCAGCTATGTGCAAAAGTATTTTAAAAATATTGGCCTAAGCTCAGTCCGAAAAACAACCAATATTTTGAACCTAAACTAGGTTTCTATGTAGGTTGTCCCAATTGAACATGATTAACTTAAACATATATTTTTCAGTTTATGCAATGCAAACAAAGTTTTGGACATGCTAGCTATGTGCAAAAGTATTTAAAAAACATTGGTCCAAGTTCAGTCCAAAAATCAACCATTATTTTGGACCTAAACTAGGTTTCTAAGTAGATTAACCCAAATCAACTTGATTAACTTAAACATAATATGTTTTTCAGTCTATGCAATGCAAACAAAATTTTTCGGACTGAGTGATATACATGGGTAGTGCAATTTGAATTTACATACTTAAGCAGGTGGCGGGGTAAAATAATGCATCTTATATGTCTACTATTCTCTTAGATATTGATAGAAAAGATATTCCCTTGCCTAAACTAGGTTTCTACTAAATGCTAAAGGGTTGAACTGTAGATACAAAAAATCTACTAAATGCTAAAAGCAAATATGCCATGACGGAAGAAAACATTTGAAAGTTGTACAAAGGAGAGTGAAAAACACTCACATCTCTGTCGAAGTCCAACATAAAGCATCTCTTGACATCATCCTTGGTTGGTTTACAGCCACAACGGTCACGCCGAGAAGTTAAATCTGAAAATTTTGTGTAAGTGTAATGCAGAACAGCAGCTTCTTCTAACTTGATCTCACTACCAAACAAGAAACATAACTCATCAAACTCTTTTAAAGGGCTAAATAAAAGCTACGCAGAGAATATAACGTCTAGTGTCATGAAATGGATGAAGCAATGGGTGAAAAATATCAAAAGAGAAACCTTTTTCTTAGCATACAAGTAGAAATATAGTGAAACATCTTACTTTGGGGACTTCATGTAGTTATGCCACCTATGAGCACCATTGGGACGGAGATGATCTTTAACTCTAGCAGCTGATTTTCCATTTCCATATGTAAGAAAATAGTTAGGATTACCACGTGTTGCATCCTTGTACATAGCAAAATAGGTATCCTTTGGAAGATGATCATAGTTCTTCTTAAACATTGAGACCTGCTAACAGAGCAAGCATTCAGAGAATTATAAGCATGCTATCTGGTCTTTGTCCCGTGTTTGTATTTATAATAGAGCTAAAAAAATAATCAAACAACAACTTCCATAAACTTTCATGACTACAACTCAATGTTCACCATTGAGGAAGAGTCTATCAATCAGCAATAAGGCATAAAGCTCCATCAGTTCTAATTTAAACATCACAATAAATGAGCATAATAACACCAGCAGAGTAAGCTATGGAAAAGCAGACAACCTGCTACGGGTCTGTTTGGGACAGCTTTCTGTCTGTTTTACTTTTCAAACCGCAACCACAGTTCTGCTTGGAAAACTGTTTTTTTTTACTGTTTTTTAAAAATTTATGTGGTAGAATGCTCTTTTTTTCAACCTAAGCTATCAAAGTGTGGCGGCTGCTAGAAAACTGCAGTTTGACTTTTTGAAAATAAAATAAATTTATAATGGCCATCGAAACTTTTTAAAAAGCAATTTCTTCTGCAACAACTTCACTGTTGCTTCTTCAAACAGCTACAGCTACCCCAAACAGACCTTAAATGAAAAAAATTTGCAATAATGCAACATCTATAATAACTTATAAGAATTTCCTTTCATTTTCATTTGGGTGGGTTGGCGACAAAGTAAGGAAAGGGGGAAGCGAGAAGGGAGGGAACTTTTCATTTATCAAACAATTAAGCATCTTGCTCTTATGTCAAAACTTGGGCAAAATTAGGAAGTTCGATCATAGAAAAAAATTAAGCTAGCCATAAAGCTTTATGGGTTCTTACAATCCAACTTCAACCAGTTCACATCCACAGAGACATGCCTCCTTCATCGAACTGGCTTGTTGTTGTCATGGAAAGTAATAAATCTAGTGGTTGTATATTAGGAAGCTTGATTATAGGAAATCTAATAAATGTATTTTCAATATTAGATAAAAAATTAGAGGAGATCTAATTACAGAATCATTCATCTATTAGGGATATTTCTAATCTACAGAAGTTGGAGTGTATAATGTAGCATATGTTTTCAATTGAAAAATAAAAGAAAAAGTTGTTTTCATTCACATGGTATCAGAGTCGTGCCTGACGCGACCATTCCTAGCTCGTACCAATCATTGGTCCCGTCAAGATTGTCCCTAGGTCTCCGTTCGAGTCATAGCCCTCACTCTCCAGTCGCCGGTCCCATCGAGGCCGTCCTAGCTCACTCTAGTTACGACTTCCATTGTCCTTCTTAAAGCGAATGTGATAGGATTTCGAGCCGCAACCCTCGCTTGTCTATTCCATCAAACAAAACAGTTTGCACGACTCTTTCGTTTTAATGAATCTTTGAACCGTTCAAATATATTGAATGCTCTGTCTAAACGTGTCATTTGATTTCCATTGACATTCGATTTCTTCTGTCTATTTGATTTTTTGGTTACCGTAGTTAATCTTCTCTTATTTTGGTATTGTCTCGTTCGTGCCGTCACATTGAGAAGTCTATTCGAAAAAAAATTGACATATTGGTTTGCTCGTAATAGATGACAAGATCATAGTATCATTAGGATAAGTTGATTCAATCTCTTTGAATATTCGGTGATAACCATGACTGGTGAACTAAAACATATGACAAGTTTGGTCTCATCAATGGCTAAAATTACTGATGAAAAATTAAATGGTGTAAATAATTTTTATTTGAATAGAACTGTAGGACTCTACTTGAGAATTATTTCCCAAGAAAGTCACCTCATTGATAATCCCCAATGAAGATTAATCCAAATTATTCTGAGTGGATGAACCAACTTTAGATACAAATGCATAATTCTATTGAACATGATAAATTTGGTCATATTTCTCATTATGATTGTGTTAAAGTTTTGATCAATGAATTTACATCCGTTTTTTCTACGAGAGAGTATTTCAAATTTTTCATTTGCAAGGAGTTTTATCGAGCTGAACAAAATCAATTACTTAACACTTATCACATGCACTTTAAACAAATTTATGCAGAATTGAATACACTATTGTCTTTCAGGATTCATGTTTGTATTCAACAAGCTCAAAGAGAATAAATAGCTAAAATGAGTTTTGTAGTTGGCCTCAACTCTGAGTATGAAGGTGTCAAATCACATATTTTATCTGACCTTAAAGTTACTACTCTGAGGGAAGCATATATTAGAGTGTTGTGTACTATCCTGAGTTCTTAGGCGTCATCCGTATACCTAGTGCTCTTGTTAATAAAAAAATACATACTATAGTGAACCTCAGTATCAGGGCAATTATAATATAACTCCAAATTTTAGAAATTACGGCTCAAGGATAATTGTCATGAACTTGATCGTATGAAGAGAAAGTGTCAGAGTTTGCTCTAAAAGTATCAAAAGGGTTCTAAATCACAGTCACATGATCAATATTAATGAGGCTTCTAAGAGTTGAACTTTCTCAATTTCTGCAGATGAATATGCTAAATTCTTCTAATTTCAGGAAACATCCAAAAAATTTCCCTCTATCATTGCCCTTGCTAAGTTAGGTAATAATGATAGATGTCTTATTTCCTTTTCCACAAAATGGATTATTGATTCTAGTGCTACAAATAACATGACAGGTAATCCAAAACTCCTTTTCACCTTTCATAACCATCTTAAATCATCTTAACAGGTGAATCTACCTCTAATGTTCTTGGTTTTGACCCGCTCAATGCTATACTAATTTTATCTTTAGTTTATCTCAATTCTCTTTTAATTTTCTTTGTTAGCAAAATTATATGTGCTTTTAATTGTTGCAACTTATTCTTACCCGATTATCATCCTTTTCAGGATCTTATGACGAAGAAGATTATTGATAAAGGACGAGAGTTAAAGGAGGCTATACATTTTGAAAAACAAACTATCTCAAACCATATTCTATTTGAGCACCTTATCTATTCTTGAGATTCATTGTCGATTAATGCATCCATCATTATCAATGCTAAAAAAATTATACACTCAGTTTCAACAATTATCATCTTTAGATTGTGAGTCATGTCAATTTGCTATACACTATCGAATGTCTTATGCTCCTAGAGTTAATAAAAGAATTGGTCATAATTTGGAGTGGATTCAATCTAATGTTTGAGCATCATGTTTATGTTTATCTAATGGATTTCAATATCTTATCACTATGGATGATTTCTCTCATATAACTTGACTTTACTTTATGAAATCTTGTACTAATTTATTATTAAATTTTCAATCTATTTTTGTTTAAATTAAAACTCAATTCAATATTTAGTTAACATACTAAGAGGTGATAATGTCAAAAAATATTTTTCAACACATTTTCAAACATACATGACACAAAATAGGATGTTTCACCAGTCATTCTGTGTCAACATTTCATCCCAAAATAGAGTAGTTGAAAGGAAAAATAGATTAATTTTGAGACAGCTCGAGCTTTTTTTCAAACTAAGGTGCTTTAACAGTTCTGAGTTGATGCAGTTTCTATTGCATACTTTTTTAGCAATAAAATAACTTCTACTATTCTACAAACCAAATACCCTACCAACTACCTCTTTCCAATTGAACCACATATATTTGGGCGTATTGTTTTGTTCGTGATACTTATTCCGAGGTTTCTAAACTAGACCAAAAGTAAATAAGATGCGTCTTTCTAGGATACTCTCATTTGCAAAAAAAGTATTGATGTTTTTTTCCCTTTTAAACAGTTCCATGGTTTCTGCTGATGCATCTTTCATGAACGAACACATTTCTTTACTGACTCATCGTTGTCTAAATCCTCGCAAGATTCTGGTGAGTTGTTAATGTATCACATCATCAATTCAGCTCCAGCTCCAACTCAAGCTCCTGCTCCATCTCCTCAACTAGTGCTTCAGCCTAGACCACCTATCATTAATATTTACTTTAGTAGAACACCTTGTCCCCTGATCATAGCCTGACACCGATATTACTTCTTCAGCTAATCCTCTTTCTAGCGACCTTGATTTACTTATTACTCTTTGAAGAGGTAAGTGTCACTGTGCCTATCCCAATTTTTCTTGTGTTAACTATAATCAGTTATCTTCTACTTCTTGCTCTTTTATTGCTTCTCTTGACTATTTTGCGGTCTCGAGATCTATTTATGATGCTTAAAGAAATGAATGCCTTAATTCGATTGAGAACTAGTTGAACTACCATCTGGCAAAATGGTTGTTAGCTGTAATGAGTCTTTGCAATTAAGTTTCAGTTTGATGGATTTGTAACTCGTCTCAAAGTTGGGTTGGTTGCTGAGGGCTATTCTTAAATGTATGGGATTGACTGCTTGGACATGATCTCTGTTAGCTAAGTTGATTCGCTTCTTTTTATCCTTGGCCACAATGAATAATTGAACTTTGCACCAATTTGATGTGAAGAATGCATTTTTGGTAATCTTTTAGAAGAGGTATACATGGAGCAACCTACTAGGTTTGTTGCTCATGGTGAGTCTGAGAAAGTATATCGTCTTCGGAAGTCATTAAAATTTTCGGGACATTGTTTGAAATCTTTATGATAACACTTTTATTATTGGAAGCAAAATACAAAGAATCTTATTATTGAAATCAATTTTTCAAAATCAGTACAATACTGGAGATCTGAGTTTCTTGAAGTACTTCTTGGGGATTGAAGTGTCAAGGAGCAAAAATGGTCTATTTCTATCTTAACGGAAGTATGTTTTGAATTTGTTAGCAGAAACTAAGAACATAGAGGTCAAAACATGTAGTACTATGATATTTCCTAATCAACAAATTATCAAGGACAGAGAGCCTTTTAATCATCCTGAAAGATATAGGAAGTTGGTAAAAAAATTGAACTACCTCATAGTGACTTGCCCTGACACTGCTTATTAAGTTAGCTCTCTAAGTCAATTCATGTCTTCCCCCATAATCCATTATTGATCAAATTTAAAACAAATATTACGTTACCTAAAAGAAGCTCTTGGGCAAAGTATTCTATTAACGAATCATAGGCATAGAAATATTGTATGATTCTCTAATGTAGATTGGACAAATTTCAAGATTGATCGGAGATCCAGTACAGGAAAAAGTGTTTTTGTTGTTGGTAAGATCTCATGAAGGAATAAAAAACTGAATGTAGTGTCACGATTAAATGCATAATATGAGTATCTAGCAATGACAAGTTTTGAGTGAATTATTGTGAGTCACTCAATTATTGAACGAAATAGGTTTTAAGATAATGGTTCCAACAAAGTTATGATCTAATAACCAAGTTGCAATTCATATTGCAACTAACCTTATCTTCCATGAAAGAACTAAGCACATTGAGTAGACCGTCATTTTGTTCGTGAAAAGATCCAACAAAATTTAATTTTTACAGCTCATATAAATACGAGGGAACAACTAGGAAAACATCTTCACAAAGGCCCTTAATGGAGCTAGGAATAAACTAGGCATGATAAATATATATGCTCCAGTTTGAAGGGGAGTGTTATGGAAAGTAATAAATTTAATTGTCGCATATTAGGAAATTTGATTATAGAAAATCTAATAAATAAATTTTCTATATTAGGTAACTTACAACAACAACAACAACAACAACAAAGCCATAATCCTTTTTCTCCAACAACAACAACAACACACCTCTCTGTCCGGAGCGTTGTGGGGTCGGCTACATAAATCCTTTTTCTCCATTGCGTCCTATCTAGTGTCATATTTTCATTTAGTTATAATAAATTAAGATAATTTTTTATACAATAAGCCTAAGTCTTCCTAGGTCTACCTCTGCCTTTCTTAACATAAGTCGAATCTAAAACATTTACTCTCCTAATCGGATTATAGATGGTTGACGTTTAATGTGACCAAACCATCTAAGATGACTTTCTCTAATTTTGTCGTCATAGGAGCTACACCAACCCTATCACGGATATATTCATTTCGCATTTTGTCTCTATGTGTAAAGCCACTCATCCACCTAATCCCTAATCATTCCTAATCATTCTCATCTCGGCAACACTTAGTATTATGCTTCTCTTTTAAAGGCCAACATTCAATGCACCATAGAGCATTGCAAGTCTCACCACCGTCTTATAAAATTTTCCTTTCAGTCTAAGCGGTGCATTTATATCACACAAAAAGCCCAAAGCATTCCTCCACTTCAACCAACCAACTTGAATTCTACTATTAACATCCCCATCTATATCACCATCGCTTTGAACAACAGACCCAAGATATCTAAACCGTTCACACCTTCTAATAATTTGATCACCCAACGTTACACTTTGGTCACTAGAGCTACTACTACTAAAATTACAGTCCATATATTAGGTAACTTAATTAGAGGAAATATAATTACACTAGGAACTTTCATCTGTCAGAAATATTCCTAATCTATAAATATTAGAGTATACATAAATATATAACTTTTTTTCAATTGTAAAATAAGAGAGAGCTATTTTCCTTCACCGTTGTAAATAGCCTAAGGGCTATATAGCAGTAGTTCTAAAAAAATGTATGCTATAACGAAGTATAAAACAACAGAAATTTTACAAATTGAGTACCCCTTAACACGAAAATCTCAACAATTAAACTTCTGTATTGTTGGAATACATCACAAATTGAAGAAAATGTTAAGACTTGATTTGGTGGTTATTACCTGAATTGTATCGATCTATCCTTTATGATAGACTACTGCATCTGTTTGACCTTATTTTCCCTTTTATCTTAAAGTAACTTTTGCTTTAAGAAAATTTATTTAGACTTTATGCCTTTATGCAGTAGCTTAATTCCACATGCTGTCCTAAGTACATTATTAATTCACATCAATTGATAGCATTGAGGTTAAGAAATATAATGAAGTTATTCTTAAAATATAAGCATTTAACAACTTAATTTTCATGTCTCATACACGTAGCTTCAATTCAACACTCATAGGCTATTACTACATCAATTACGTATTGCTCTTTTACCCCCCATATTCAATGTCAGAATTAACATGCACCCAAAAATGAGAGGAAAGACAAAGCCATTCATCATTGAACTAAACTAACACGGAATTTAGGAAAGCTAATCATCAATTAAAATAACTATTATCAAACACAGACAGAACTGGTTGTCATTCATAAAATATTCTACATATGTGAAAAAAATAATAAACTACCTATATATTTGATATATCTTCAAAATCCACAACAAGTAAACTTTGCTTAATGGAAGCATTTTGAAAACCTTCCTTTCTTCTTTCATATATTTCACGCCTGTTGAAAATCCAAAAACACTATAACAACGCATCCAATTTGTTTCTTTTGGTTTTAGCATATTCTTTATGTATATTAGCAGTGCTGATCATTGAAGCCAACATATGTTAAATCCCCTTTCCCCTCCCACAAGTTTACCTTTTTAAAATTCATTAAAAAATTCAAGGTAACAAGTGCTGTAATATTTTTCCTCATGTTCCTGTTTCATATATTTTCAAGCCAACCTGCATGTTCTGATAAGCAACTTAAGGGTGTGTTTGTTTCTGATATGGTTGTACGAAATCTCAGTTCAAAAACTGCTGTTTAAAAACTAGTGTTTTGAAAGAAGTTGTACTATTTGAAAAATGTAGTTTTAAAAGTGTTCTATGTGAATAAAGGACTAAAATACACATCTGTTGTGTTACATGAAACTGTCAGTAGCTATAAAAAGTAAACTTAAAGTAAAATTATAGATTCAACAATTACAAGTGATAATGAGAGAAAAAATCATCATGAATAAAATGAGCATGCATTAAGGGATAATGCTTAACTCTATTTTTGCAATGCTAAGCGAATTGTATATTCTTATGTGCCTCAAATTCATGCTGCTTATATAGTTCCAAGGCAGTCATTCCAAGCAATGCGTTCTATATATATGATAAAGGCAAATTATTTCCGCATTAATATATTTGATAAGAGTTTATAACTACGTTAATATTTTTATACTATGCCATGAAATTGGAATTTTTCAATAAAGAATGTCAAAATTATAATGATATATTTGCGGTGACTTTTAATACATGCTGCTCGCTCTGTCCAAGATACGAAAAAAATATTGTTATAGATAAACAGCACAGGACTTTCCCAAAAAAAAGAAAAAAAAAAAACAACACGGGCAAATTACGAAATCACGAGCGGAATTTCTGAATGCAGGAGACTCTCCGTGATGATGCCATTGGTAAATTACAAGCCGTGGTGTGCAGCAATTTTCAAAATCATAAGGCGAAAGTGCAAAACAAACGCGCATTTCACGAAATCTGGTTCAAAAATACAACCAAGAAGCTGAAACAAACACATCCTAAATCTTTCATTCAAAAGAGAAGAAAAAATTAGTGGACAAAAGAAGGAGTTCTTGACTAATTTTTGTTTCTACTTTCTCCCAAGGAATGTATGCTTCTAAAAGACCTTTGCTTTTGTGCCTAATTCCGAAGTTAGTCAATTAGGACATGATACATAGGTTAATATTCTTGCATTAACCTCTTTAGGGTTACAAAAATGGTTATCATTTCCTTAGCAGCTGAGCACGTGCTCCTCACCTAGTGGTAAATTCAAAGAACAAGCCTTTAACAGGTAATTTATTTCATTAACTCATCATCAATATATCACAAGCTTCATGTCAAGAGCTTTTGCTCATTGGACTATATTCTTCATTATGGATTACAATAAGAGCTAAAATGAGGATAACGTACTGTCTATAAGGTTCTGTTGTTGCTCTTCCGACTCCTATTCCTGCCCTGCTCCTACTTCGCTGACAATTGCCACTAGTGATGCTACTACTACTATTGCAAATAATAATAATAATAATAATAATTATTATTATTTGAAACACATTCCTTTTTTAGATAGAACAAGTGACAACAAAGATAACAAAGTATCAGGAAACCAAACTCCTAAATGCATAATAGCTAGAATCAACTGAAGCCAGGTGTCCATTCAAAGGTCCTTAAGATACAAATTTTTGTATGTATCTATAGTAAATGATGATTGCCAACAAAACAATTGGGGCTACGATAAATGCTAAGACTATTAACGTGAGATCCTGCAGAAGTTCAAAACGCTGAAATTCCTTTCAGCAAGTCAAAGATGTGTAACAAAGAAGAAAAGAGAAAGGACATTAAATTACTGGATCCAATAAAGTTTGAGGGATACTTTTTTTAGGTAGCATAGAAAAATGTGGAAAATGCATACTTTACCCATTCTAAAGTTCAGAGTTCATGATCAAAAGTAATTCCATAAAAAATAAACGTAGGGACTAAAAATGAACAAATACAAAAATTTTTTAAATAAAAAGATACGTGCACAGATATAAGCATCAACAGAAATTCAGTTTAACAACTAGTTTAGTAGAGGCTTCATCAAATTAACATAAGCATGGGTAAGCTGAACTTTAAAGGTAGAGAAACATGTCATTTACCTCGCTAAAAGGATCTTTAATGTCATCCCGCTCAATGCTACTTTCCTAAGACATGTAAAAGATAAAGTGCCTTAGACTGGCCACATGTGATTGTGTTTTCTTTAGAGGATGAAATCTTACATAATTTGGAAAGATCACCATATCAACATTGTCAGGAACATCAGATAAAAGTCGTCTTAATGAGTACTCTCGAGCTCCAGCTGGATGTATCAACTCGTCTGTGTCAAGATGGATGATCCAATCCATTCCAGCATCCTGCATACGACAACGCAGGTCAAATTCTCATTTTCCAGAAAACAATTAGATTTAACACCTAGAAGAAAAAATGTCAACACCTGTTAGTAATAAAATTATACAGCATGGCTAAAATAAGGACATGACAAGAAATAATCTTAGTTAATTAGGGAAAACATGCAAGAGAAACTCTCATTATGCAATAAATCATACCCGTGCCATAACGATAGCCATTTCCATGTTAAGTGACTGTTTGACAAATAGCTCATAATTGCAGGGCTTGTAAAAGAACCCTGCAAGCCAATTCTCATTCCAGATGCGGCTGGAATACAAGAAAGAAAAATAATTCTCAGTTGAAAGGAAGTAATCGGACATGAATAATTCAGAAAAACCTGCACAATTAGTTATGAGCATCGAGCATGCTAGTTGCACCATTACATTAGATATTTTTTAACAGAAAAATACTCAACTAAAATTGATCCTTATACTGAAGAACGAAATTAGAGCAACTCTAAAAATAAATAAGAATTTCACATAATTGGCAAAGATATTATGATAAATAGGAAGATAAAATCTTATGTATTCAAGAAAATAAACGGGTTTGGGAAAAAGCTAAGGAGACAGATAGCTTCGGTTTTATACTTTGGTATTCAAGTAGGAGTCGCACTAGAAATGTGTAGGTAAAAATATAGATAAGACTTTAAAAATAATGTTGTAAAAATTAAAAAAACTGGAGATAGAATTATAGCCCTTAAAATTGTTGTTGATACTAAGATTTTTAATGTTATAAGTGTTTATGTTCTTCTAGTAGGTTTAGATAGAGGTTCTAAAGAATTACTCAGGAATGACCTAAAATAATTAATACAAATGATACCTTTTGAAGAAAAAAATTTTATTGCAGGAGATTTAAATGGACATGTTGGTAGAATGGTAGAAGATTTTAGAAATATTTATGGTGGCTAAGGTTTTGGAGTGATTAATGAAAAAGGTATAGTCCTATTAGATTTGCTTTAGTGCAAGATTTTATTATTTAGTGTATTAAATTAGAGAAAGTCTTCTTAGATCGTTTGGTCACATTAAGCGTCAACCATCAGATGATCCGATTAAGAGTAGATGTTTTATATTCGAATTATGTTAAGAAAGGCAGAGGTAGACCTTGGATGACTTGGGATTATTGTATAAAAAATGATCTTAATTTATTAGAACTAAATGAAAATGTGATACTAAATAGGACACAATGGAGAAAACGAATTCATGTAGCTGACCCCACGTAGTGGGATAAAGGTTTTTGTTGTTGTTGTGACTTTATTTAAAAAAATAGATGAGCATATTATTACTTATAAGAATAGATCTAATAAAACATAAATTGATTATTTTCTAATGAGAAGAAAAGATCGTCGAGTATGTAAAGATTGTAAGGTCATTTCAAGTGAGAATTTATATACTCAACATTGATAATTAGTATTGGATTTTAAGATGAAGGGTTGTAAGACAGAAAATATTAGGAATCATTGTGATAGAATTAAATGAGACACCTAAAAGAAAAAAAAATTACGTTTACGAGTAAACTTCAAGATTCAAAATTTGCGATGTTCATGAAGAAACAAATTTTATGTGGGATAAAGTAACAAATATTATTAAATAAGTGATAGACGATGTACACAAAAAATCAAAAGAAAATTTTTTTATAAATAAAGATACTTGATGACAGAATAATAATGTGCAAGAAAAAATAAAATATAAGAAGTGTCATAAAAATTGATTTAAACGTAAAAGCTTAAAGAATTGAAAAAAATATAAGGTGGTCCGTGGGTAATTTAATAGAATAATTTATAATGCTAAAAATTCTTCTTTTAGTGATCTCTATAATTGATCAAATACTACAAAGAGTGAAAAATAAATATAAAAACTAGTCAAACAAAGAGAAAAAAAAAAGTAAATATTTAACTCAAGTAAAGTGTATTAAAGATAAAAACCAAAAATTATTTTTCTTGTAGGAAGATATTCAACATGGGTGGGTTAGTTATTTTGATAAACTTTTAAGTGGAGTTTCTGAAAATATGATCTACCTTAGTGATCTCAATATCGTTAATAATAATAATAGGTTTTATTTTTACCGTCACATTAGTAAAAAAAGTTGATGGGGCCTTAAAAAAACAAATGGTAGAAAATCAGTAGGAACTGATAATATCCCAATTGAAATGTGGAAATTTAAAGGAAGTTTGGGAGTTTCTTGGCATACTAAACTATTTAATATTAATTTAAAAACTAAAAAAATGCCTGAGGAGTGGACGAAAAGTATTGTGATCCTGAGGAGTGGACGAAAAGTATTGTGGTCCTCATTTTTAAGAATAAATGAGATGCATAACATTGTGCAAATTATTGAGGAATTAAGTTGATATGTCATATTTTAAAATTACGGGAGAGATTAATTGAACATAGATTATGATATGTTATAAATATTTCTCATAATCAGTTTGGATTTATGTTGGGCAGGTTTACTATGGAAGCTATACATTTATTGAGAGGTTTGATAGAGAAGTACAGAGAGAATAAAAATGATCTACATATCATTTTTATTGATTTAGAAAAAAACTTACGATAAGGTTCCAAGAGAAGTCCTTTGAAGAGTTTTAAAGAAGAAAGCCGTTGATATGACTTGTACTCAAGTCATTAAAGATATGTATAATGGAGTTGTTACTTGTGTTCGAGCGGAAGGAAAATTGACCAATTTTCCCATTTCAGTTCAATTACATCAGAGATCGACTTTAAACTCATATCTTTTTGCTTTAGTTAAGGATGCTTTTACTGGACATTTACAGAAGGATGTACCTTGGCATATGTTTTTCGTTTAAGATATCCTTCTTGTAGATAAGGCTAGATAAAGAGTTTAGGAAAAACTTGAATTATGGAGGAATATATTGTATTCTAAAGGCCTTCGTTTGAGTAAATCTAAAATTGAATATATAGAATGTAATTTTAGTAGTAGTAGCTCTAGTGACAGAGTTGTAATTCTGGGTGATCAAATCATTAAGAGATGTGAACGTTATAGATATTTCGGGTCTTTTGTTCAAACTACTAGTGATATAGATGCAGATGTTATTAGTATAGTTCAAGTTGATTGGTTGGAGTGGAGGAATGTATTGGGCCTATTGCGTGATAGAAAAGTACTATTTAGACTGAAAGGAAAATTTTATAAGATGTCGGTGAGAACTGTAATGCTCTATGGTGAGAAATGTTGGCCTTTAAAAAAGAAGTATAAAACAAAATTAAGTGTTAATGAGATGAGATTGCTTAGGTGGATGAGTGGCTTAACACTTAAGAGACAAAATGTGAAATGAATATACCCATGATAGGGTTGGTGTAGCTCCAGTGACGAACAAGATTAGAGAGTCATTTTAGATGGTGGGTCACATCACATTAATCTTCAACTATCTGATGAACCAATTAGGAGAGTAGATGTTTTAGATTCAACTTATGTCAAGAAAGGCAGATGTAAACCAAAAATGACTTGGGCATATTATATAAAAAAATGATCTTAATTTATAAAAATTAAACGAAAATATGGCATTTCATAGGACACAATGAAGAAAAATGATTCATGTAACCGACCACACTTAGTAGGATAAAGGATTGTTGTGGTTGTTATTGTTGACAGAGGGGGTTCAAGGGTCCAGGATGCCTAATGTAACTAAGATGATGCAATAATTATAAATCACATAAAAGAAACAAGGATTTACAAATCAAAGGCCACTAAATACAAAAAAAATTGCATTCTCAAGGCTAGGGGTATAAACGAGCCAAAATTTGAGTGAGACCAATGTTTGTTCATGTTCAGCTCATTCGAAGTTAATTTTGTTAATAGTCTCGTGTTTGTAATTGCTTGTGAATAATGTGTTTTGCTTGATTCAAACACATTTATTACTTTCAACTCATATTTGACTCGAAATTAGCTCGAATGATTTAAAAAATAATAAAACTTAACAATTATATAAAGCATTAAATTAATATAAATATATTATAATATTATTATTTATTTAATTATTTAATTAATGAGTCAAAATAAATCAAACACAATCAAAAAAAATTTTCTTGTTCTGCTTGTTTATATATGAAGCTAAAAAATGTTGTTTGTATTAAGCTCGTTTACTTAACAAACAAGCCAAGCACAAACTACTTTGCAAACTGAACACAAACTATTCACGAACGACGAGCATTTTTGATAGCTCTACTCAAGACAAACTCACAAAATGAAAACATTAAACCAAACTAACCATGCAACAAAGGATTAAATTCAGAAAAAGTAGGCAAATTAATTTTTGTCATCGCAATTAGCAATCCGGTTGTGAGAAATCTAACCAAAATCAATGCCCATGCAATATCAATAACAAATATTTAAGAAGAAAATAGGTCAAGGAAAGAGACCACTAAATATAACAAAATAATGCCTCAAACCAAATATCAACATCTAATATAAGGTGTAGCATATATATTTATAAGCATCTAATATCCTTATTTAGTTGCATCTCATAATTCAACTTAACGCATGCCCTCAATAAATAAAAAGCTACCTTATGCACCCACAAAATAAACTCAACCGCACAATAACGTCATAACAAAGGCGCTCAAAGCCAACAATAGGATTCTCCAAATAGAAGCATTACAAAGGAGGCTAAAGCCCATCAAAGAAAACCGCCAAACAAGAGCACAACAAAACCGCTTGAAGCCTTCTACTAAAACCGAACTAACTAGAGTGTCATAAAAATGCTCCCGCTAAAGGAGCATAATCAAAGCACTTCTTCCTAGTAGAAATTTATTAACTAACCATTTAAATTGATTTATTTCATGTTCAAATTTTCATCAAAGTTAGGAAAAGTTGTTAAAATTTAAGCACTTGTAAGCAAAATTTTGTGTTCATCTAGCATGCTCTTTTGCATCTCATAATAAATCTATATTAAAGAACTCTAAGCTAAGACTTAAGTAATAAAATGCAAAAGGTCGTGAAATCTCTCAATATAATCATGGAACTAGGATAAATTAGTCAAAACCCTTGTTGTGAAAATATATAAATAAAAAAATGAAATTAATTTCTTGGATGTGTTGTATAATTTGTCCAATATCATAAATCAATCATCTATATATATATATATAATATATATATATATATATGTATATATATATTAGAAAAAGCCCGAGGGCAAATATATTAATACGAAAACGATACAAAAAAATTGTATGAGAGAACCTAAAAGAAAGCCGAACTCATACAATACAACACACACAAAAAAACTCAGATAAAAAAAATATACAAAAAAGTAAAAA